AATATACCAGTTCACACGCTGTCATTATTGGCCTTGTCATTGATTTCTATCTGTGGGAATTGAGTCTTTTGCACCCAGATGCACACATTCATTCCCATTAACAAGGAAGAAAACGCGCAGGACTACGGTGGAGACTGTGCTGTTCCCTTCAGATCCCCTCTTCAGGTGGACGCTGCTTGGATTATTGACTGCTCCCTGCTCCTAGCTCCCAGCAGCACACCTCGCTAGAAATCGCCCTCCTCCCTTGAGGGAGGAAACTGCCTCCTTCAAGGTCATGCTCTCCCCAGGGCTGGCACACAGACAATGAGTGGCCAATGTGGAGATACAATTCAGAACAACTCTGAAAAAGCTTGTCTGCGCTCCAGTTCCCCACAGGATCTGTTGAAGCCTCTGTTGCTCCCATATCACTGTTTAATGTGCCCCTGGCCTCATCCTGCCTGCCTCACTTTCTTCTAGTTCTATCTCTGTCAAGAACTCTCTAATAGGGCGGCGCCTGTGGCTCAAAGAGTAGGGCTCCAGCCCCATATACCAGAGGTGGCAGGTTCAAACCCAGCCTCTGCCAAAAACTGAAAAAAAAAAAAAAAAAAGAACTCTGTAATAAAACTTCCAACCCTTCAGTCAGTTTTCGGGAAACTTTATCTAAGATGAGGATTAATGATCGTGGATGGGCAAATCTAAACTTGTCAAGCCACGTTGGCCAAGACAAGAAAACCTGGGGTTAACCGTTTTTGAAAATGAGTGGCAACCAATTGGAACATGTTTACTGTGAACTTCCCAGTTTATGGAAGAAAATAAATGTTTCCAGTTATATTCTTATATGTACTCTGTACTAGAAGAAACGATCAGTAAACTTTTGAGGCAGAGGAATAAGACTATTGTCAGCACATGGCCTACCCTGTAAGAACTGCCGAGGAGAAGTCCACCCCTGGTGAGTAACTGCAACATGGAGGGGGGACCTACTGTTTATTAACATGAGTTCTGCCCTCTAAAAAAAAGCTCACAACCGGGACAACAAAACTTCTGTTTGCACGGGCACTCTATTCAAATCCCAGGTTACTCAAGGGGAGCCTCTTACCTCCAGGACCAGCCATAGCTGTCCCCCCACACAGTGATCCGCTTTGTAAAACATCCCGTAAAACTTGACAACGTTGGGGTGATTAGGAAGGAATTGCAAAATGTTGTATTCTGCCTCAATTTCTTCATCCATATCCTAAACAGAGTAGAAAAATGCACACCGGGCTAAGTTTAATGTGTAAAGGATACAGATATGATAACACATTCAAGTAATCATATTTACTACGTATTTCTAATGTCATCATTACCATATATTCAAAATACCTAACAATAAACATTCAGATCTCCATTTAAACCTTCCAAATTGTTCATGTTGCTTTTGCTGTTCTTATATGATGAAACATATCAAAAAATATCTGCATTTTCAAAGCAGTTAAGGAGAATTAGCACATACGGATCCCCCACAGGAGAGAAAACAACATACAGATCATTATATCAGAGCTGGGAAATGTTAGCTTAAGATAATCAAGTATTAGCTCAGGGCGGTGGCTCATCCCTGTAATCCTATGGGAGGATCACTTGAGGCTAGGAGTTTGATACCAGCTGGGGCAAGAGTGAGATCCCACCTCTACCAACAAATTAAAAACTTAGCCAGGCCCATGGAGCTGTGGTGCCTATAGTGCCAGCTACTTGGGAGGCTGAGTCAGGAGGATCACATGAGCCCAGGAGTTTGAGGCTGCAGTGAACTGTGATGATGCCACTGCACCCAAGCCTGGGTGACAGAGTCAAGACTCTTGTCATTAAAAAAAAATAAAAGATAATCAAATATCACAAGTCTGAGTCACTTTTTAACATACAGGCAGACCAGGTAGTGAAATATGTCACTCTTTGCAAGAGAATAACTTTTGAAGAGCTCAGAAGTCCCAAAATCAAAATGAACAAACAAGAGGTAAGTTTTAACTCTGAGTGGAGTGCATTCAGAGAAGATGACAAATCGTGACCCATTTTGAGACTTCATGCCAGATTTCAAGAAAACTATCCCTAATATCAAGAAAAGAAGACTCGGTGCCTATAACACAGTGGTTACAGCACCAGCCACATACACCGAGGCTGGGGGCTTTGAACCTGGCCTGGGCCAGCTAAACAACAATGACAACTGTAACAAAAATAATAGCCAGGTGTTGTGGCAGG